TGCACATAGCAATACATAAGAAATTAGGACTGAAAACAGAGTTAAAACACTGTATCCAGTTGAAACTGGAGGAGGTATTTAGGTAGAGAGAATGTAAGTACCAAATCTAAATAAAAAGGCATCTAAGAAAATAGAGGTCATTTACAATAATTTGGTTCTAAAGTTTTCTGTAGTGCTGAGCTTTCTGTAAATTGTTAGTAAAATAAGAGGCCTCAGATGACTGAATCAGATGCCCAAAAACTATGGGGTTAAACCATACCCCATAGCAGTCACAAGGTAGCTCCTCTGCTGTGAGCATGTTGAATTAGACCACTTTAAACCAAGTAATTTTGAACATGATTAATCTGAGTAATCTCATTAGTACTGTTTATTCTGGAATTTCTCGCTACAAAGATAGAAAGTAAAAATAAGTGAAGATTCTGGCCTGCTTTGCTGCAAACAAGTAATGCATCTTAGAAAAAAAAATGATGAAAGATGCAACAAATATTTCACCTTTCAAAGATGGAAAAATTAAAACCCATCCCTAAGTGACAAACTTAGCTGCAGTGTCTTGATCAGAAGGAATTCACTGGAAAACCAGGTAAAACTGAGACATTGAAGCAATTATTAAAGGCATATGAACATGATAAAAGATAGTTGAGAAAGTTCAAACACTTGTCACTTAAAAAAGAAGAATGAATATCTGTTCTGGACTCCTTCATATACAAGTTATTGTGTTAATGTCTCATGTTTCAGGTAACTAACACTTTGCTGTGAGCATGATTTGATGGCAGCCTTTATAAACTGATCACAATAGGAATAGGACAATATTGTGAATAAATTTCAAGGCATTCCCTGCTGATGAAATGGCTAGCTAGCTGAAAGTGGTGTGTACCATTAATTCCAGCCAGTAATTATTGCCATAGAAATGCTGTGAACTAAGATTATTGATATTAACATTTCAGAAACAGAGTTCTTTCTTTTTCTCTTTCTCTCCCTTCTCCACCACAACGCTTTTCACTACAATAGAAAGCTACTGATTAGCAATATCAGTCACAGTGGACCATATACTGCCCTTAGTCTGCATATAACTGCCATTGATAGGAATAGGATATCTGTAATGGTAAGCATTTATCAGGCTTCTTACAACACTGCAACATTGCACTGCAAAGATAAATGTAAGCGGGGGAATAGTCCCGCTATTGTGGGGAACTTTCCTGGCTTCTTCACAACCCCGGTCAAGTGGGCTAGCGAAAGGATCTGAGTCCTCGCTCCCACTTCCTTTACCCAGTGGCCTCCCTGCCCTTGAGGACTCCCCTTCCGCTCCCTGTCTGGCAGAGTCCTCGTAACCCCAACAAGGCTGGGCCCAGGATTCCTGAGGGGCTCGACCCCCAACCCTGCTGTGGTCACCTAGGACAGGGGCTAGGATATCCTCACTCCGGGGTACTCTCTCTACACTGGGCACTTCTCTGACCCACTGATCATTACATACAAGTTAAAGCAAATGCAAGTTATTTAATCAACAATTAATTTTAAAAAGAATTAGGAAAAATGGGAAAGGTTAAAGGAAACACATCAACCCGCTCTGTGACAGGGAACATCACAAACAGTGTCTCTGGAATGTCCGGGCAGTTCACAGTCTGTTCCTTGTAAGTCCCAGGCCTTCTTCTCAGGCCCTGGCTGTGCTGCAGGGATGCTGTGGGTTGGACACTCGCTCTGGTGATGGCCACACACTCTCAGGTTCTAGGTGTCAGGGCCCTTCTTCCCAGTGTTCCCCCTCCCACCCCCCCGTCGGGGTTACCAATCCCCCTCTGAGTGTGGCCTAAAGAGCCTCCTGGCTGAGGTGTCTCCCTGTGCTGGGCCCACTGCCCAGGGTCCCCGTCGCTCTCCCCAGCTGCTCACCACACCCGGCTCTGGATTGCTCCAGCTCCAGCCCCAAGCTCCAGTTTCACTCTGTCTCAGCACGGCTGCTGCTCTGCCTCCAGCTCCCTGGGCTGCTTCTCTGGCCCCTCTGCCTCTCGTTGCTGCAGCTCTCGTCCCAAGACAAGTCTGCTCTCTCTGGGCTGTGCCTCTGGCTTTCCGGCTGCAGCTCTACTCCCAGCACAGGGTATGTTCTCTCTGGGCTGCTTTTCTGGTCCCTCTCGGTCTGGCACAGCTCTGTTCCCCAGCTCAACTTGGGCCCCTATTTTCTCCTTATCTCGGCCCCACTCTGTCTGACCCAGGCAATTCCAGCTCACACGAAGGATGGAACTCCCCTTGCCTCCTGACTCCCTGATTAGCCTTCCGCCCTGTCATTCAGGCTGACCTGGAGCATTGGCCTCTCCCCATTGTTCCTGGGGGCTGTCAGTCTCAGGGTCCTGATCCCCCATCGACCCTTCCCCCCTTTTAGTACTGGGAGCTAGCAACTAAAACACCCTCACTGAGTGTTAGTAAGGGGGCAACAATCCCCTTACATAAAGTTAAAATATCATTCTCCAGTTGTACTTGGATCCTTGTACTTAGACCCATATCTAGCAAAGCACTTTAGCACAACTGCAACTTTAAGCATGTGTGTAGTCCCAGTGGAAATAATAGGACTATGTATATTCTTTAGTTTTTTGTTGGATCAAGGGCTCAGGTACCAAGATTATATGTAACTCATAATTCCTGTAGATAGATTAGATACTTTTGAGGATCACAATAAGTGGAACAAGAGAATTAAATGAAACTTATTGTATTGCTTAAAACAAGTGTTGCCAATTCTTTCTGGGGAAGGTTATAAGGGGTGGTTTCACAGTCCCTTAAACCAGTGGTCTCCAAACTTTTTGGCTCGCGCACCCCCAGGGTGAAGATCGGAAGACCAGCCACATGCGCGCCGCCGATGGAATAAGACCGGAAGACCTGCCGCAGGTGGGCTGCCGGAGGGGAACACCAGCCATGGACATGCAGAGCTGCCGCCAAAGAAAAAAACTCCTGCTGTCGTGCATCCCCTGGGATCATCTTGTGCACCCCAGTTTGGAGACCACTGCCTTAAACTTTGCTGCACTGTGTGTGTACCCTAAAATTCAGTGTGACTCTTTTCCAAAACTGTAACTCCTTAGTGGGAGAGAGTTTGCTGAAGACTCTTTCTAGGTTTGCCAATTTTGAGCTCAAGGAGCTCAAGGAATTTGTTTTAACCTATCAAGTCCTACAGAGTTTGGTTTACCATCTCTCTGGTCATCTGAGGCTTTGGATAAACAGTGTGGTGTTAGAATGGTGTTGGCCAGCAGGTTCATTCTAAACTGCTAGTGTAGGCAAAGGCAACTTTAACAGATGCTGATCTAATCATGTTGAAGCCTACACTCCCCCACTTGCTTTGATTTGTCCAGCTCAGTACATGCTAAAGTCCACACTAGCATTTTAGTACGTGGTGGTTAGCACCGTATAACATGCTACAGCATGTTTTAGTAAATACAAACTCTGAGACTCCACCTTTTTTCCCCATTCAGTACTGCCTCTGCTGAGAACAAGTCTGAGCTACCCTGTCTAAAAGGGATGAGGCAGCTGGCTGGCTGGCGTGAGTGGACTTTTCCTTTTGGAATTGTGTCTCTACATTGGGCTGTCAGAATCCAGATCTATTAACTTGCTAGCATGCTGCAAGGCCCACCTATTTTTCTGGGGTTTGGGGAAAGTGTGAGTTGAAGGCTGGAAGGTTCTACGTGCTCTATAGAGGGGCTATTTTGTTTGCAGATAGTTATTTCCTGTGGATTTTAAATTGTGTAATTAGGGCCTGCAGCACTGGATGGGTGCTTAGTAAATCTTGTACAAACTGAAATAAATAAGCAAGCCTGGGAGGAGCCTATGTTTATAAAACCTGTGATCTAGAGGTATCTTTGGGGGTGCCTGCAAGCCTCCCATTTAATATGTTCCCAGCAGATTTAAGGGAATACTGGGTTCTGGGGAGTGGCTGAAAGGATGAACTCCATTGGGATACTGCTAAATTATCCTTGAAAAAGATTATTTGTCCTAGGGGTTTATAAAAAAAATACTTTGCCAGCAACCTATTTATTTTCATTAGAAATGGACCAGGTTATTCTGCAAACATCTGCCATTTGGTGCAAGGCAATTTGTGTCAGAGCTACCTTTATATCCATCCACTAACAGGACTTTATCTGTCGCCCTGCGCCCTCCATTTGAAATTGACCCAGTTGAACACATTTTTAAGGAACAAAAATGTAAGCTTTTTTCCTCCCACAGAGTGCAGCTTTAGATAAACTTGATTGCCAAATTTTGTTGTCTTGGGAGGCAATTAATTTTTCTTTGGTTTAATTGGGAAAATGAATAGATTCTCCAGTCCCTGAAGACTCCTTCCTACAAGCGCACAAAACTTTGGGACATGGAGATTTATTTATCACAGGCTGAGGGAGAACACTTATGGGAGCCCCTTACTAAAATGCTGGCTGTGCCTTGGTGGGTTGGTAACAACAACTAGAAGTTGGTTGACTTTCACCTGTTACCAGGTTTCATTCTACAAGTTTCATAGAAGTCAAATTAGAATTCTACAGAGAAAGCTACTTGTGACCTTATTTTTAAATCATGATTGCATTTTATTGCTTTTCCAGTGACTTGGCAGGTACTTTACTGACAGCAGCATAAAAACTGGGGGAAATATACAAGGACAGATACAATATCCTCATACATAATTAGAATAAATGTTCTAGGTTATTCCTTATTGTCCATAAAACTTTGTGATGCTTTAACAAAAAAGCTAAGAAAATAGGATATTTCATGTATTTCACAGAAAATGATGTATAGGAAATAAAACGTGACAACATTTAGCACTGAGTACAATGTTATCTGTCCTTACTAAGAAAAAGGATCCTGATTCTGTGTGCTTGTGAGAGAGAATAAAACACGTGTGATAAAATCTCAAACACAAATGTAACTTTAAAAAAAAATTAACCTCAAATATAAGTGGATGTTATTTGTGTCTATTATCATAACACTCATGGTAAAAACGTGCATGGTACATTTCAAAACCAATCAGGTCTGTTTGCTTTCAGCTTGATGATTCACTAAACCAGATTCGAAAGCTACAGCGATCTCTGGATGAGCAGACAGAGGCAAATGACAGTTTACAGATTCAGCTTAATCATTTGAAAAGCAGGTGAGTGCTTTACACTTTTAATACTTTGAATCTAGGCTGGAATGTTAATACAGGAAGATCAAGTGAAGATGCGCTTTCACTGATGATCTGTCACATTTACATCTGTCTAGTAACTGTTGCAATTGTTTGGTTCCCCCTACATTTCTGGTTCATATGAATACATTCAAGCTCCTACTGTCATTTGGTTTTTAATCAGTCTGGGTGAGAATGGATAAACACACAAAGAAATAGGTGCAGTTAATCAGGATATTCTGGGGCCCCATGCTGGGGATGTTGTGCAGCTGCGCCACCCAGCTTAGTGCTTAGTGTGTGAGACAGGCTCTGCAGTGGAGTTCTCGACATGCAGAGGGGGAGTGCCTCCTGCGCTCCTCCTAAGTAGGATAAAAAACATGCTTCACTCTGGCCTTCCCTTCTTCCGACACCTCTCCCCTCCCGTTACAGTGAGTAGGGTTCTAGCTCTCATCGCCAGAGATTAGTTACACCACTCAGGATATGAAGGGACTGCAAGTGTGACTGATCCCTTCGTGATGGTGCATTGCATAGTAGGGAAAGTCTCCCTGTACCTCTCCTATACCCTTGTGCACCCACATGTGTGTCTGTGTGCATTTATGTAAGTAGTGAGCATTCATGTGGGACTGGATATAGTGAATAGTAAAATACATATATATATATATATAAACTGTTTCTAGTAGACTATGAATCCAACACTCGAGGATGGAACCTGCCATTCTTGCAAAGATTACAGGAGTATACTCAATATTCTCATTGTTTATTTCATTATCCAATAGCATAGATGATATCCAAAGAAAATGTACAACTGACACACTTTTTTTCTGGGGCAAATATATGCTGCTCCATTAATTGTCTGTTACTAAAGAGGCTACTTTAAAGTGTAGCTTTTTCTGGAAACACAAGGGTTGGTATAAATATGGGTGTCAAACTGAAGCTGGAGCATTCAAAGAGGTATATATTGCACCACTTTTGTTTCCTCACAAAACTGCAAAATATACATATTGTGAAAACACATCTAACCCACCCATATAATGTGTTTATATTTATAAAGCATCTCACCTGAACTTGAATGCTTATCTTGGTTGACTGTGAACCATGTTGCATGTTATCCAAGAGGCTGAAAAGCCAACTTACATTTCAGAAAGTGGTATTTTTTGAATATATTAAAAGATTTTTCCTTTTTTTGTTGCTGCTGGTTAGTATGGTGTTCTTTTTTTTTTTTTTTTTTGCTAAGTGTTACAGCTGAAAGACAGATTACAGCTATTTGCTTGCTCACACTAGACTAATTCTGAGCCTACCTTATGCCATCACTTACACCTGTACAAAAACGCTAAATGTGTACTCACTCTGCACTCAGAAATGACAGCCTAAAGTGCAAAGTACTGGAGAATTAGGCTTACAAGTGATCAATCAGGGATGCTAGGACTCTGGTGTACTTTGAGAAAGGTAGCATTCAGTCATATTTTTTCATGATATATTTTAAAATATGCAAAGTTGGATGTATTTTGAACCCACTTGCATGTCATGGGTTCAAGATTTCCCTATGGAACCATGCTGCTTTAGGTCAGTCTTCCATTGGTTGTTCACTCCTTGCTGAAATGAGTTAGAAACAAAAACATTTTATATCTTTTCCCTTCCTATCCTACCTATGGATAGAAACAACCCCTAAGTGTCTGATCAGATTGTACTGCTTAAAGTTACCCTGAGGGTAAACTATGGATAAAGAGATTGAGGAATGTACGTATAGGGACTTTTGAGTTTTAAAGGTAACATAGTAGACTACTAATGGTATATGTCACAGTTATGGGACTAGCTGCACTTTTGTCCCCTTTCTGGAATCTGAGTGCACCCCCACAAATGGCAGTCCTTGTGCCTTTACTTTCCTGGGGTAGAATTTCAGAATTTTCACACTCTTGGGTTGTCATACCCAGATCCAAGTCTATCTGTGTCAACTGCTTATCAGCATGCCCACCCAACTGTACAATTGGGTTTCTTCCCTGTGACTGGGAATATGGGGTAAGATTCACAAAGAAACTTAAGTGCTGCAGTGCTGACCACCTAACTTCTAGGTGCCTAGAAACAACACAGAAATCCTGTGTTTAAAAATCATCATTTTTAAAACAACACACAAAGTCTGAGTTAGGTATAGGCTCCCTATACAGTGAATGTGGAGGAGATAAACACCTAAGAATGGAATCCACAAAAGCCAGTAAGCTAGACAGGGAGCTGTCCAAGCTAGCCAAAGAGAGATGCCAATGTGTGTCCTAAGCCCTACTCCCTCATGGAGATAGATGACTAAGTCCAGACTGCAGGGAGGTAACTCTCTCTGCTAGTGATCCATGAATGGGAACCCCAGGTGGATTAGGTGCCTAAACCACTTCTTGAGGGAATGGGTTAAGTGCCTACCTCATTTCACACAAACTGGGGGGCAGGAAGAAGAGGAGCCCACTTTATAACTCTTAGTCCAGTGGTTAGCACACTTGCCTGGGATGTGGGAGACCCAAGTTCAATCCCCCTCCCCTGCCAGAGGCAGGGAGACAATTTGAACATTGTCTCTCCTACCTCTGAGGAGAGTGCTTTAACCACTGAGCTATGGGGTATTCTGTTGGGGAGGGGGGTCTCTCAATCTCTCCTGTTGAAGCTGTTTTACTGTGGGTTAAATACTAGCGATTGGAGCAGGACTGGACCAAGGGTCTCCCAACTGGATCCAGGTAAAGGAAAGTGGATATCATGGGTCAGAGTGAACTTGAGCAGATAATTGGCCTTATCTATATAGGTAATGGGGCCCTGAACACTGTGAAGTTGTGAGAGAAAGCTATGTAGCATATAGGATACAGACTTGCAATCAGACAGAAATTGTATGAATTTAAAAAGACTATTAAGGAGGAGATGGCCTGAAAAATGAGACTAGAAGACTCTCTGATGATGTTGCAAGATTACCCAGACATAACAACCCAAAGAATAATGTTTTAGCAGCTTATAGTGGGACATAGAAAGGAATCCAATCTTTCATTCCCTACCCAGAGACTTTCAAAGCCAAGTGAATAGTGAGCCTGAAATGACTTCATACGTTGTGGTTGTAAAGAACACCAAGATAACTACCCCTCTATACAGATAGAAGATTATTGTTAACTCATAGTGAATTAGTAAGAATGAAAGTGTTCTGTATTTATATCCTGACAAGGAGATCTATCAGGCTGCAGAATGATATCCCTTGGGAAGTGGTTCACATCCCATCACTTGAGAACAAGAGTTGGAATGGACTAACCAGTTCATCATATTTATAGGGAGCAATGTGCTGTAGGAAACCATCCTACATTGTCAGAGAGGTAAACATAATAGGTTTATTGCATCATGCCTTAATTCCATGAAAATTGTTTGACCACATTGAAAAACATTTTGTAATGTTTTCAAAGCACTTCAAAATTTGGTTCCACTAGGCTGCCTTATTCTACAGTGGCAAATTTTTATGGGGCTTTTATGGATCATTTCCATAAAAATCTGAGTGCTTGTCTTAAAATGCCAGGTCATCTCAATAAACATGATAGTATGTTCTTGACAGAGATCGATGTACAACACACTACACTGTGAAAGGTCAAGGAAATAGCATTGTGTCATGGTAATATAAACATTTTTATTACACAATAAAATCAACAGCTACTCTTTTCTTTTTAACACTATGTCTGTATTTTATAGCTTTATCATGGAAATCCAAATATTACAGCTCTTCCAAGGTTTAAGGCTTATTAACATTCCCTGTTTTTGTTAAGGAGACAATTAGTAATGCACACAATCATGAGAAAACCCTTCTCAAGTTCAAAGTCCCTTTAAGAATTCCATTTCTAAATACCGCTGCAGGAATTTGGCCATACAATACTGACCAGCAGAGTCAGCTGTCCATTAGGTACTGATAGCAATGTCCCTCCGGTCAGTGACACTCTAGAAACTAAGTAGTATTAGTAAAGTGGCTATACTACTACAGTACCACCTGCTGCCACCAGGATTCCCATTTGAGTTGGTGCTTTGAGGAGCATCTGAGACTAAATGGATTTAATAAGAAGATATTGGAGCACTGATACTGTTAACCAGAAAGAAGTTCCTTGGTGGTGGCCTGGTGGATTTCAGCCACTGAAGGACTGCAGATTGTGACGGGGCAAGGCCAGATGGCTAAAGAAAAGTAGTAAGAAACAGGTATGTTAGCCCCAGGCTAAACAAATCCCTGTTACCATGGTAACCAAATGGCAGTTGCTCCAAGTTAATCAAGACACCTGAGGACAATTAAGATCCTTCCAGAAAGCAGTGGAGACAGCTAGGTTGATTGGGACACCTGAAGCCAATCGGGGCTGGCTGAAAGAAGTTAAAAACCTCCCAGTTAGTGGTGGGGTGGGGTGCGTGTCAGGAGCTGGAGGAGGAAGTCACGCTGTTGGAGAGACTGAGCAGTACAAACCATATCAGGCACAAGGAAGGAGGCCCTGAGGTAAGGGTAAACTGGATCTCAAGGAAGTGGGGGCTGCTGTGGGGAAGTGGCCCAGGGAATGGTACGTGTCCCGTTTCTAAAAAGTCAGCTATCATAGTTGATACTATTAGGGTCCCTGGGCTGGAGCCCGGAGTAGAAGGCGGGCCCAGGCTCACTCCTTTGCCCCCCTGATTAATCACTGAGACTGAAAGACAACAGAGACTGGGCGAGGGAGGATAGCTTCTCCTCACTTCCCCCACTGGCTTATGAAAATGGCTCAGTAGGCTGTGACCCTTGCCTCTAGAGAGAGAAGGGCTACATGGTGGGTCATAGTGAGCCTCTGAGGATAGCAAAAATCCGCCAGGAAACTCGGGACCCACAGAGACAAGGATAGAGCTTTGTCACAAGATATTGAAGAAGCTCTGGCCCAACTAGGAGCCACCTTGTGACAACAGATGGTTCTGTGAAACAGCTGCACGATTGATACTGCAGTTTCTATAGTGGGTTTGAAATCTGGGTCATTGTTTGGGTG